GGTTGGGGAGGAGGTTGGGGAGGGGGAGGCAGGCGAGGAGGAGGGTGGTGGCGGGGATGATGGTGGTGACGGGAAGGGGGTTGACACGAAGGGGTGGTTGCGTGGCAACGCAAAGCTACCAAAGCAGGTTCCTGCTACTGAGGAGCAGAGGTGGCTCATTGAGCCCACGGGAAAAGAGTAAGTGGTTCATTATGTTGCTTGTCACATGCTTATTTCGGTTGTTATTTATTTTTCTTGTGACATGCTAATAGTTCATTCTTTTGCAGCAACTGGATATATTCTAAAGGGGTCCGTATTCCCAACGGCCTCATCACCGTCTTGTTGAAGTTATATTGGCCGGTGTTGTACTGTCCTGATCCAGTAAGGCAGCCGGACCATCGGGTTTTGGCCACGAGCTGGGACCACTGGGAAGCGGCCCGTCACGCGGACCATGAGACCCATGCCAAGCCCGTGATCACTACTTTCTGGGTGAGTTCTCTTCAGAAGCACAAGTCCATTCTAGTTTCATGAATGATTTAACTCATGGCTTCTCCCATTCTTGTTTCATGCATGATTGTAGAAATTCTATCGAGTTCTTCCGGAGCACAGGGCTAGAGCGGACCAGATTGTGCTGCGCCAATGCAAGAAGAAGGCCCGCCAGATGCAGTACGAGGTGCGCTATGTGGCCATCTCCACATACTACCACGACTATCTTGGTGTGAAGATGACCAAGGAAGAAGCGCGGAGGATGGGCATTACCTTGGAGAGGCCCGAGTTCTTGGCGGTAAGTATAAAAGATTTTTCATTATGCTTTCATATATTATGCTTTCATTACCTTGTGGTACATTATGCTTTATGCTTTATGCTTCCATAACACCAATTTGGACACACCTACATGCCATTATGCTTTTATTATGTAGGTGTGTCCAAATTGGTGTTATGGAAAAGACGAGTCCTGGGCGGCACTGGTGGATCTTTGGTGTGATGAGGCTGGAGCCTGGGCGGCTATGAGAACCAAAAATAAGGCTAACCATGGGACGGAGGGAGTACATGCTCAGGGAAACCGAAACCACTATCTCCACAAGGCAGTTAATGTATGACTAACCCCATTAAACATTCTTCTTCTTCTATTTACCATCACTTTCTTATGTATGACTAACCTCTGTTTGGTGGTGCAGGAGGAGAAACTGAAGCGGCCGCTCTCACACATGCAGGCGTGGGAGATTGCCCATACGCGGAAGGACCCCAAGCCTGGCGAGCCCAAGTACTACGGCAAGAAGACCGCAGAGAGGAAGAAGGCCTACTCCGAAGCATATCTGGAGTTACATCCTGACACACCTGACCCCATTGCGGCGCCTCTGGACGACATGGCGGTGGTGAGGATGGGGCCCAAGGAGCACGGTCGGGAGGCGGTTCTCGATGCTGTGATCACTCCTAGTATCTCCTACACACAGCTTCGTCGGATCGACCCGAGCCTGAGCCAGCGCACGAGCCAGCCAGTGACTAGTATACAGTACCTCTTTCAGGAGCAACAATCTGTAAGTATTTTCCCTCTTATCTTCATTTCTCACTTCATTTTCCGCATTTAGTAGTTTTATGAGTTCCATCATGTCATACCGTAGGCCTACATGGAGTACACACGCCAGGAGACCATGGCGTGGCATCAGAGGCTTTATGAACACCAAGTGCAGAGGGATAGCCAGATGCAGCAGGCTTTTCAGGATATGGCGGCCGGCAGGTGTCTTCAGTTCCCTCCAGCACAACCAGTGCTGATGAGCTTTGAGGAGTTTGTGGCAGAGACTGCTGGCCCCTCGCCGGTTAGTTCATCCCCAATCTATTCACCCAAAGCATGTCATGCCTTTCAACACAGTCATATATCCCGTGCATATGTCTTTTCAACATCCAGGGAACAGGTGGATCTACCGTTGGCGGTGGTCTTCGCAGCACTCCGGAGACACGGAGCCCGACCACTCCGATCCACGGAGGCGGAGGCGGAGGAGGAGGCGGTCTTGGCGGTAGCGCTGCCGCTAGCAGTGACGACCTGGGCTTCGGCGGTCTTGGCGGTGACGACCTCCGTGGTGCTCGACGTCCTGGCGCTTAAGCCTTTGGGTCACATTATGGCGGTCTTGGTGGTGATGATACTTATATGCTTGTGATGATTCTTATTGTTGTTTGTGAGATTCTTATGCTTGGTGGTGATGATACTTATATGTTTATGCTTTGCGATGCTTCTTATGATGTGTGATGATGAATTTGTTCGGTGATGCTGCTGGGCCAGCTGTTATGTGATGCATATATTTGTTGTGTGCTGTATATATTCAAATGAATTGAGCTGAAACAAAACAGAAAAAAAACAGACAGAAACTATGCCGACGGCTAGGCCGTCGGCATAGAGCTGCCGTGAGCTCCCAGTGGCTGCCACGTGGCCGTCGGCATAGTTTCAAACTAAGCCGGCGGCTAAGCCGTCGGCATAGGCCTGCTCCAGGAGCTCCCAGTGGCTGCCACGTGGCAGGCCTATGCCGATGGCATAGCCGTCGGCATAGTTTCAAACTAAGCCGACGGCTAAGCCGTCGGCATAGGCCTGCTCCAGGAGCTCCCAATGGTTGCCACGTGGCAGGTCTATGCCGACGGTCTAGCCGTCGGCATAGTTTCAACCTAAGCCGACAGCTATGCCGACGGCCAGACCGTCGGCACAGACCTGCCACATGGCGAGCAAGCATTGGTCAGCACTTGACGGCGACCGCCGTTAGGCGATAACGTTGCCGACGGCCGGGGCCGTCGGCATAGATGTACGGACGCCGTCGGGATAGGTCCTATGCCGACGGCCTTTCTATGCCGACGGCATTCCTGGCTACGCCGACGGATATGTTGCCGACGGCCTTATGCCGACGGGTGCCGTCGGCATAGGCCTGTCCCGACGGCCTTTCAGGGCTATGCCGACGGCCCTGGCCGTCGGCATAGGGTGCGATTCCGGTAGTGGTTAAAAGGGATTTCATTATTCAAGTGTGACGAGTTTGTTCCTACAAAGCATAGAAACATCTACATCATCTAAGCTGCAGTTAGCTCTGCCTTCCACAATCAATGCTTGATCTGTTTAGTACTGGTATTGTACCATATATGTAGTTGTTAGTACCTATATAACCAGCATTGCATATGTTTTTGTCCGAGCCAAGCACATTGAGAGCGAAGTGCAACTAACCGATCTTTGTTGATTGTGTCAGTGAATCAGTGAATCAGTGAATCCTACTTGAAAATCACTGTGGCATATATATGGAAAATAATATCGACCGTTGATTGTGTCAGGATCATATGTCGCCATGTCTTGTAAGTGCACTCTCAAGCAAGCAATCAGAGGCTGCATGTGCATCCTAAACCGAATTTTATGACAAAAAAAGAGAGTATTGCTCCTTGTTTATCTGAATATGAAATAACAATCGGCTCCCTCCACATGTTTACACCATTTCAAGATATACATTTTGTCTTCATTAACATCACGAGCCTTTGAACTTTGAAGGGAAAAGGAAATGGGCGCATCAGAAGGTCGGGAACTCGACCCTGTTGCCGCAGGGCCTGCCGCCGGGCTGGACGGGGCACTCGACGAAGCCCGAGGCGTTGGCGTCGACGCAGAAGTAGAGCTGGTAGAGCTGGCTGTTGCCGGACTCGTCGCGGTTGCACTCAACGAAGGGCTCGAACCCGGTCCCCTGCTGGATGGCGCCCTTGATGGCGCTCAGCGTGTAGTAGCCGCCGTCGGGGGAGACGCCCGCGGCGGTGAGGGCGTCGAGGACGCGGAGCTGGTCGCGGAGGTGGAGCGCCGTCTGGAAGTAGCCGTGCTCGTTGAAGAGGTTCTGCGCGCAGGTGCCGTGCTTCTCCCACTCGTGCGCCCAGAACTGGAGGCCGTCGCTCGTCGGGCACGCCAGCGTCGGCCACTCCGTGCGCAGGCTGCTCAGCAGGTCGCTCACCTGCACGTGAAATTAGAGAGTTATTTCTCGCAGATCACTCGCTGCTCCGCAGTTCATTTGCTGGACACTCTGTTTTTGGATTGCTTTCAATATATTAAAGGTGTCTAAATACATTTGTATCTAGACAAATGTAAGACAAGCTTTTCGGGATAAAAAAAGTACTTCCTCCGTCCGGAAATACTTGTCATCAAAATGGATAAAAGAGGATGCATCTAGACGTATTTTAGTTCTAGATATGTCTCCTTTTATCCATTTTGATGACAAGTATTTTCGGACGGAGGGAGTATTACAGTAATAAAAGGCGTTGATTTTGGAAAGATTTAAATTTATTGGACAAATGGCACCAGAAATAAATTTATTCAATCACATGCAGCGTCGACTTTGGAATGTTTTCAGTCTATCTATATGATAAGGCATTGATTTCGGACAAAAATAAATCCTGCATGCATTTATTAGAAAAGATCCGCATGAATTTATTTCAAGAAATAGCACCGGAAAATAAGTTGAGTGTTGGGTATGAAATATTGAAATGTGCAATCAAATGAGAGGGGGGATCGTGCCGTGTGGTGTGGTACCAAACTAGCAAAGCAGGGGTTCCGGTTTCTTCGCTGTCCCTCTCAAGCGAAGTCACATTGGATTTTGTTCTTTGCGATCAGAGACAATTAAGATGAATTACTAGTGGCGCTGGCAACAAGGTGTGAGCGACTGACCTTAGAGGGATCGAAGGCGTTGGCGGGGTTGCAGTTCTGCGGGTAGGAGCCGTCGTCGCGGTTGGGCCAGAGGCCGTGGATCCCGAAGTCCGCCGCCGGCTTCCCCGACCGCGGGTAGCAGCAGCTCTGCTTCGTGTCGCAGTACGACCCCGGCCACTGCACGCACACATAGGAGCACGAACCATCAGCAACCAACACACATACAAACCAATCGACGACGAACCGGACTCGCCGGCCGGGCGCACTGACTGACCTGCAGCACGAGGTAGAAGAAGTCGTAGTCCGCCGCCTGCGCCGCGGCGCACCCGGCGGCGCTCAGGGCGACGAGGAGGGCGAGGGAGAGGCAGGATCTCATCATGGCTTGCTTGGATCGATCTCTTTGGGACTCGCTACAGAGCTATCTGTGTGGGTTTGATGGTTCTTGGGGAATGGAAGGATGGATTTATAGGCCGCTTTAGGCAGGTGTGGATGCCGCCCGCGTCGACGGCGGGCCAACGAACGACACGGGCATATTCCATTGGGAGCGCGGGGTTAATTGCTTGCTCCTTTTGGCCCGCGCGTGCCAGGGATGGATAGAAGCGTGTGCGCGCGGCACGGTGGGCTGGACAGCGACCGGCCCCGAACTTTGTTGCTTGGGCCGTGTGTGGTTGGTTGATGCGGATAGGGACCTGAGGAGGAGGAGGGGGTAGCAGAGCTGCTGCTGCGCTGTGTAAATTAGGGAGGGGCGTTCATACCGCCGGCAGCGGCGTGCTGTTGCTGTTGCCGGTGATGGGGTGCTTGTCACGGTGGGAAACAAGAAAGAGGTGAGCCAACGGCAAGCCTACCTCTGGTGTGGTCCGTGCAGGTACGTGGCGTGCCGACTCTGCGGCTCCTTCACTCCATCAATCACCCCTCACCCGGTCAATGCCAAACCTACGTTGAGGTACATGATTGATGGCGATTCCGTCTTCCTTTCTTGCAACAAAACTCGTAGAGTTTTATTTGAAAACACAGGCACATGTGCTCACATATATGCAAGCAGATGCATTCTTTTTTTGAAACTGTCAACAAGGAAAGGCTCCCGACCTAGATATATTTCAAAGAAAAAGTTTTTACATACTAGAATAGGCGAGAAGAAATGAAGTCCCCGTCACATGCGGGTGGGAGACAAGGTTAAGCATATGCATTCCTTTGCATGTATGTATGCATACCTTATCCATATGAGTAGAAAATAGGCTAGCAGATCAAGGTCGCCACATACAGCTCTTAGGTGACAAATACACCACTATAACAGAATAATGAGTCCACCTAAATAAATAAATAAGGAAAGCAAGCACCCATGATTTACGACTTAAATCCAGATGGACAGGCTCCACGGTAAATAGCCTAACCAACGGAGTTATGCTTAGTTGTCGCAAGGTCTTGGGGTATTTCTAACTGATCCCATAAAAATTGAGTAAAACAGCAGAATAAACCTTAGTGAAGCAAATTTACTTCACTAAGTTTGGCCGTTTCAAGCCAATCCCCTAAACTTAGTGGAGTAAAAAAGAGTCCATTTCATCATATATTCGGCCATCCAAATAGATTCCCTTTCCTTTTACATTGGAGTACATAATTCACCAATTCTTCGTCATGAGAGTAAGACCAAAGAAAATAAGAACCACAATTAGACATTTTAGAAGATATCCAATTCCCCTAACTGCTCCCACTAGTTGAATTAATATTTTCTCTATGTCTTCATTGTTGATCTGCGAATTCTTGAGTTTCACCACTTTTTTCTTCTTCGATTCTAAAGAAGTAGACGTTGCTTCGCATCTTATCTCATTTCTAGTCTCATCTCTAATCTCATCTCTAGCAACGAGCGCACAAAATCTATCGATTTTCATGCTATCAATATCGATGTATTCTTCTTCCCAGTACCAAAACATATGTCCATCCTACACACATAGATGAGCAAACAAGCCCATAGGTGAGCTACTGAAATTGTGTCGAATCCGGTGAACAATCGAATCAAAACATGCACATACCCCATTATTTGTGCACTTGAAGAACACACATTCGGCGCACCACCTTCCGTGTGCAGCCGTCGCACTGTATAACCGGCATCGGCGAGCCGCTGCGCCAGCGCCGAGCTCAGGCAACGGCCGGGCGTGTATTTGCTAGTGAACCTCCCACGAAAGAGATTTGAGTGGCTAGAGGAGGAACTGGTACCTACATGTGGCTCGGAGGCGTCGTCGTGGCTGTGCGGTCTGCTTCCCGGCCAATCCATGGTAAGGCGCGGTCGCCGTCTGCCGGAATAGCCAAATCCGGCGGCGGTGGCGGCAGCGGCCGCAGATCCATTGGTTTTTTTTTGCCACCCATGGGACGAGGCGGCGCAAATCCAAGCGGTAGGGGACAACGACGAAGCCTACTGCGCGTCCCTGGCGGCGGGCGGGCACCGGCGAGGGGTGGGAGGGGCGGCACTGGCACAGATACGACGCAAGAGGCTGGATGAGAGGCGCCGTTTTTTACTCAGCCGCCGCGCGGTGGAATAAAGATAAGGAGATTTTTAGGAAGAGGAGTAAAATTTTACTCCCTTACGACGGATAAGGGATTGGCTAGGTTCCGATTAAAAAGTAAAACCGTATTTTTACTCCTCTAAGCAGTTATAAGGGATAGGTTAGAAATGGACTTGATCCACAATGGCCAGCGACTGCTTGATGCACTCCATTTGCGGCCGGAAATATGGCGTTAAGTTAGCTTGATCATCATACAAAGTCATAATATACAGCACGACTAAATAAACTATTGACGTGTAGAAGAAGTTTAATTCAGGACGGAGACTGTGGTGGTGGTTTACTTTATATTTATAAAACGGGACGAAAGTCTTTTTCGATAATTTAGGGCGGAACGAGTTCTATCTAATAATTGCATGAGTTTGTATGGATTTAAGATATAATAATTGAGATGTCCGGATGTGAATTACGTTATTTAGGGGTGTCCGATCAGTGCCCACGGACGCGTGCAGGCACGTCCACGGGCGTTTGAGGGGCCGAATTTGCGCATAGTTGCGGTAGATGCTCTTAGGTGACAAATACACAATTATAGAAGAATAATGAGTCTAACATAAATAAATAAACAAGGAAAGCAAGCATCCGTGATTTACGACTTAAATCCAGATGGACAGGCTGCACGGTGAATAGCCTAACCAACGTAGTTATGCTTAGTTCGTCGCAAGGTCTTAATGATCCAATGGCCGGCGGCTGCTTGATGCACTCTATTTGCGGCCAGAAATATGGCGTTCAGTCTGCTTGATCAACATACAAAGTCATAAAATACAGCACCACTGAATAAACTATTGAAGTGTAGAAGAGCTTTTTAATTCGGGACGGAACGAGTTCTCTCTAATTAATAAACTAACGATACACGTTTGATTCCAGGAAGGACTGATTATTGACGGGGACCTAATCATGAACTTGTGGCACATGAGAGGAACCTTTTCGTAGGGATATTCCAGGACAGTTCAGAGATGCTTTGCCACCGTGAGGACAAAATGAAAATACGTGTCACAATAACGCGCCAATGGAGTACTGAACTAGCTTTGTGAGCACACTGAAAAGAAAAACAGACTTCGGAGGAGCCGCCGGTGTTCACATTTCAAACATCAAAGAAGACCAACGCGTCATTTTCACGCATCCGCCTCTCGCTCTAGTCCCCACTCCGCCACTATGCTCGTTTTATTAGCCAGCATATGCACTTAGATAGTTCTTGTTTGATCCATTTTTTGTGTACGGTAAGGGCATCTCTCGCAAAGCTCTTATAAGTTATATTTGAGAGATTTTCTTGAAAAAATGGATTAAGGCCCGGAAGTATCTTTCTACACCCGAGCTGAAATGCTCCTAATGCGAACAGTAAATCCAAAAAAGTAGATTTTTTTTATGATTTTGTTTTTTTATCACGCCTTCCACCAATGTTATTTCATGATGAAATTTTTCATGCACAACAAACATTACTTAAAGTATGCCAAAAAAATCAGAACTTTTAAAAATATTTTCCTATTTTTTTATCTTACTGTTCACACCAGGAGTATTTGAGCCCAGGTGTAGAAACTCCACATCTCCTTAAGGCCTATCTAGCAAATCCCCTCTGAGGTGTGTGGGGTATCCTTAGCTACGTCCATCTCAACAAACAAACCCTCCTTAACCATGTCTAGATGGGAACCCACAAGATGAGGTTTGCACCTAGTGCTGACTACATCCATCTTGGAACAAAAATTGAGCATGATCCACGAGTTCCCATGTGACCCACAAAGCCCGCTAATGTTACCTTGATTTTTTTCCATCCTGAACGCAACTAGACTTCCCTTCTGAGCTAAACCGCCACCTCCCCTGCTCCAACCTGATAGCTACCCTCGGTGACTAGCCTCCATGTCATGTGCCTCCTCCTCCTCCTCCCCATCTTCTCCATCGACCCCACCCACCCTCACCTCAAACCTCACCACTCCACTCTAGCAATACTGTCCGCCTCTCTTTCTTCCCTTGGATCGAACATGAAATCCATGCAGAGGCCGGGGATCCTCCTCCTTTTCTAAAAAAGAATATAGTTGTCCAAATCACACTCTAGACCAGCTCTTCTTATAGAGAAGGGATCTCAATTAAGAGGAGAAGTACAAAGGACAAAAGCAGAAGTTGAAGGGTCAAACTCCTCTACCGGGAAAGCAAATAGGGACCCTAGGTGCCCAACAAGCGAACAATTTCCTCCTCCAGGATTGTTAGGCTGGTCGTAATGGTAATATCATAGTTAGTATCATGCATGCCAACTAGGCAATTTTGATGAGGTGTCATAGCACTAAATGAAGAAAGAGAGGATGAAGTATCATATCATGATACCGTATCATAATAAATGCTATGCTACTTTCTGTCATGCATAGCAATAAATAGAGTATCACATGATACTAATATATGATAGTATGCATTAGGGAGGTAGTATCGTACACTAGTATCATATACATGATACTAGCATATGATACTCCCCATTACAACGAGCCTTACTCCACTTCACTTCACATTGATTTGTATTCAGGCTCATCCGTGGTCCGCCACCATGTTACCAACCCACTCCATTGTTGCTCACTCCACTTCTCATCAATTTGGCCATCACCATAAATTGTATTGTTCAACTAGAATATTTATGTCATTTTCTCTCTTAAGAGCATCTCCAGCCGTTGTGAGTTTCCCCAGTAGTTGGAGCCCCCAGGCGCGCCCCGTCGCTCGCCAGCCTGGCCGCCTCACTGGCTCGTCGTGCCAGCCGCCGCGTCCGCCCTGTGCTAGCTCGCTCACCCACCGCTACAGCGCTCGTCGCGCGCGCCCACATGTCCGCGTCCGTGCCCGCTCGCCTGTT